TCTCCAGAATATGGCGTCATCTGTCATCACCGTCGAGCCCAAAGAGGTCTACTGTAATCGCTCCATTTTGAAACTGCTGCATAATTTCTTCAATCAGATAACTGGTGAATGGCTTCTCAGGGCACTAGCTCTGACTATGCAAGAGGGCTTTTGCCCAGCATTGCAGAGACGTTGTGTTGTCTACAGTTTCTCGACGACCTCGTTGAGCTCGTATCGTACACCATGTTTTCGTGGGAAAATCTTTGCTTTCGTCGGTGTAGAAAGCCTTATGCAATTTTTTTCGACAGACCACAATGCGTTCATCAATATGCTTAGACTCGTTCGGTTCGGTTTCGATAAAGTGTAAATAATTCTGTCTTGAATGTGAATGGGGGTGACTCTTTTTTTTGACCCCCCCCCATATTACAGTTACAGTAGTACAGTTGGTATTTATAACATGAACCAGATTGCAACGAGAATACTGTACTCATCTGACGACCTCGTGGTGCCAGTGTATTTGTCAACGTTGCATGGTGACCGGCTCCGCTTCTGGCTTGTTCGAATGTTGCGAACTTGAGAACATTGGATTTGTACTGAAATAGTACCAGCTTGACTGCGATTATCTGTCATGCCACTGTTCGATTAGCTGTAGCTAATCCACTCAGAGGCACTATTATACAGCAGGTGCACGAAAAAGAGCATGAAGCCAAGTGTTAACGGACAGACGTTGAGTTTTTTTTACAGTTTCGCAGGCATACCGTATCATTCACTGCTGAACTGTACTATAAAATCGTCAATAAAGAATCGGTAGCATGAGGAGCGTGGCACAGATAGTGAACTGTGAGAAAAGAAGCGTGAACAGGGTCAACCGTCACGTTGGACCGATTTTGAAAAATTTACAACCCCCAAACACTTATTATGTGCTGTACCCTTGGTATTTGTGTATGTTTGCGTACTGCTTCTTACTACTACCCCAAGCGCTACTAGATAGCGCGGTGGGATCGCGTTCGCATTGGCGCGCAAAATCTTCCACTCGGCCCAGCGCCGGATGGATCGGGACAGACTACTAATTTTCATTTGAGTGTATTTCTGTTCAATATCAACATTTTTTAGGACACTAAGGAGATTTGTAATCTACTAGACCGCTAGTTTCAGCAAACTACCACTTTTGTACAGTATCTTCAAAACTGTGTTGCTTATTGGATAGAGAAACAAAAATTCACAGAAATACGCACTTCGTCCTTGAAAGGTTGTAATTTTCTACAAGCGTAAGAGTGAGATAAGTGGTGTGGAAATTCTGAAAGTCCAGATTGTTCTCTCTCTAAAATGTCCTTGAAGTTCTGCAAAGTCTCTTTTTAAAAAAATCGCACCGTTGGACCTTTTTTTCTCCAGAACCAGGTTTTTTGCCTTTCAATGACTATAACTTTCTTTGGAATGAACCTTTACCGAATCTTGTCCACCAGGGATAAACAACAAGGTTTGAGCTTTCTAACGAATACTTTGATTCTTTCCTAAATTGATGGGGTCAAAAAATGGCCCTGTTGAACTGTTTTGAGGAAATCTCGGACCGATTTTTCGCGAAGCGCTTTTTTTTGGCTTTAAACTGTCATAACTTTTTTTGTATACAACTTTTGCAACGCTTGCTCCCCTGGAAGAAATTAAAAGGATAGTGCTTCCCAATGAATATTTGATCTCGTTTTCGAAATGATTCTTTTGAAAATTGCCCGTTGAACCGTTCTTTCCATGCATTTTCTTAGCTGCTCTCCTGAAAACACAAGTTTTCAACAGTCAAACACTAACAGCTCTTTTCAAACTCAATTTTATGGGGAGTAATGATACAGTAACATTGTGCGAGCTTTGTGCTTCATAACAAATACTAAATCCTTTTCAAGGAGTCACCAACAGGCAAATAAATTTTTTCCAAACTTTTTTCGCAAGCCTTTAACAGCCAGTCTACCCAAGTGGTCACTCTTTCACTAATTTAAGCCCAGTTTCAAGACACTGGTTCTTCTCGAGAGCATATTTGTGTACGTGAACAGTCAAATATGGACAATTTTGCAGTAGACTCTTCACTCTGAGGTGCGCCATGCACTCGTTTGCGGTTAATAGTTGGGGAAGCACTCGAAATTTATGCCTCTCACTCACGTTTTGCGACGCTGACCTTTGCGAATACGACCTCCCCCTTTCGGTCGGCCATATACGACCCCCTCGTTGGAGTTTGTCCAACCGACGGTTGACCCTGAGTCATGGTGGTGCGCCCGATAGGGAAAACATTAGAAGAAGCGACATATGCGTAGCTTACCAGTTACCAGTATCAATATAATCAGTCATTCTTCGACGCTGAAATAAAAAGAAACATTAATGGTGCGATTAGGTTTCACGATCAAGAGCATGCAGAGCTGGCGATGCTTCACAATTCAGGTCGCCTCCAACGCATAAACGTGAAAAATCAATGTCGCTATGCATCCAATAATCAATTTGCAAGCCAAAGCACGCTAAAGCACTGCACTGCCGAATTGGCAATTTGAAATGTGGTGAGAGCTTCAAACAGTATGTTTATCTCCATTTCATTGCCCTTTCAAATATTTTCGGCATGCAAAATGTCAAAGAATTATGATAAATGTTTTTAGATGCGATGGGACATTTCATTAGTAGGGGCCTTGCAGCAATCAATTAGCGTGACGTCGCCGGAAATAGGCTTTTAAGGCAATGACTCCCCGCCTCTACCCCGCCTCTTTTCCCCACTCCCTGCCTCAGTTTCCACGAAACGCGTAAGGCTGGCAGAATCACAATTTAGTCTGAGAGATTCTTTATCCTGACTGGATCAAGGTGAACAAGCCTGAGCGCTTATATTTCCTAGGTACTGCATCGAGAGCACGAACGTATTCATGGACGAAATGGGTAATCTGATCGCAGTAATATTAGTTGTGTGAGAGCTGCAAAAACAACTTCGTAACTTTCGGATAATTGAGGCAGTTTCCAAGTTCTACATTTGCATTCCAGGTTCTCCTGAACAACAGTGCTAACCTATTTTGTACCACTGTTCCGTTATGCGCAAAGACACGCACATTGGGAAACGTGAGTGTTACCAGAGGCCCACCTACAACGGAACCAGTTTACAGTCAGGTTCTGCATATTTACTTTGAAGCATGTTTGCGAACTTTTTCTTCATTTCTGTTTTCCTAGTATGTTTCGCGAAAATAAATCCATTTCTGCTGTGAGTTGACTGAACTGATTAATGGAAGTTAGTCTGTTGGCTTTCACGACCGACTCAGTGCCAGGAAATAGTGTTTCAGTGGAAAAACCCCGAAATAGGATCAATAAAGTGTCTCGCTTTTTTTGTGAGGTGAACATTGCTTGAAGAGACCTTGGGCGTCGAGGAGAGAGCTTAGGGGAACAAGCACATCGAAGGTGAGGATGGAGACGCCTCGCTGCACTGACCAGGAAGGTGTTTTTGAGTACCACACTTGCGAGTGGAACTGTATCTAGTGCTCGACAATCTGATAAACAATTTCTACTCACTTCCCTGAAACTTTCATAAAGTTGTCAACTATGATGGTGATGGGCAGCGCCAATACAAGTACACCGCTGATGATTGCTCCAGAAGCAATAAGTTTTCCAGCTGAAATACTGTTTCATCGTCAAATACACCATTCGCTCGAGTGATATTTTATGTAGGGAAAGACTCTTGTACAAGCTTTCATTTTAGATGAACTCACGTATTGTGACAGGAACGTAGTCACCATAGCCAACCGTTGTCATTGTTACAATTGCCCTAGATACAAATAGCGTATACGAAAACAGAAAGCAATGTGTGAGCTATAATTACACGGGACTACAGTTCAACTCTTGGGTCTGTTCCAAAGAGGTAGGATGAAATAAGACCAACTGAAGGCAATGCTCCTTATCTAGGGCTAGAATGGCTCACTACCAACAGGACAGCTTTTGATTAAAAGTTTTATCTAGCCATTGATTTGCGGGGACCAACATTTCAGGGTTGATGTGTGTCGTGCTGTTTCACTTCTAGTCGTGTGCAGATATGCTCATCAACATGGACTCTGGATGGCGCAAGGTCAGTCCACACGTACACATCGGCATCACCCTTCAAAGTAATTTCTATAACCTTACGCAGGCTGCCACTAACAAAATTACCCTATGAGTTAATCAAGCTCGCCCCATGATGAGAATTGAGCTCGAGCGGCGGCCTGCATATTATTGAACATTCTTCACGACATAATATCATCCGCTTGAGCAAGTGCGTCACGAGCTCTGCATATCTCGTGCTAAGACAAGGCTGCAGATTAATACTGATACGGTCTAGATGCAGAGAAATAGACATAACACCGTATTGACAACCGAAATGAGGAGCGCAAGAATCACCGATAGTACTAAAATTAAGGACTCCTCTATTTTGTGAGATGGCACGCCACAGCGACGAGCAAGACACAGGCACTCGCTGACCACTATTGCGTGGCCCAATGGCAGCTGCAACCCCTTGCAGAGAAGTGACAAGGCTCAGCTCAAGTTCTCTTTCACACGACATGATCGCGGGATGCGCCTTTATGACTACCGTGACGTCCAGCGCATCGCATGTCTTTGAGGTCTTATTACCACAAAAAGCTTTGAAACGTACCACCAGAAGGCAGCTGGAATCGAGGTGAAAGGTGTATCTACCTCATCTTTCTCTACGAAATAGAGCAACGTCGAGAAGAAAACAACGCCAGTTGATAGCACCTAAAAATGATTAATTGTGCCGTCAAAACTTGCAGTAATGGTCAAAAGCGTTGGAATCAATACGATAACCTAGGTGACAAAACCATGAACATCATACTCATACTCTCAGTGTGAATTTCAAAGGGAACTTTGAAAGCAAACGTGAGAATTCCAAAACTAGACAGGCAGGACAGGACCTTGAATTCAACAGCGTTAAATGGTGGAAATTTGAAGCGTCCAAGCGTAGAACTTGATGAAGACGTTTGCTTGGCAAATCGAATACTCTACGTAGTGGGCTCTATTTAGAGTACCACGCTCATGTTTATCGTTACATTGAATGCAGAAATTCCACACTACCTTAGAATGATATTTCAAAAATCACAAGCTAAAGAAATCACGGAAGGAATCCAGATTTCGGTTCCACACAGTAAAAACATGTGAATTTTTCTTGTGATTCTATGCTACGAAATTATTATCTTGCTCCTCCGGAAAAGAAAGTTCTGCGCATTACCATGCCCATCATTCCGAGTTGTCGGGCCGAACTACGCAATGTTAGGGCAAACGTTCGCATTCCAGAAGAGTATCGTCCCAGTTTTAATATTCGCACCACACGAAGTACCCGCAACACACGAACCACCAGCAGAGCACCTAAAAATCACTCATTAGTGAATTGAATAAGTGAAATACTTGGAAGAGAAATGCATCTCAGTGGGTGAGAAAATGAAATATATCATGGTCACACAGTCGGACTAACAAGGGAAGGATGGTAGGTCGAAGTGGCCGTATAAAATGAGATGTATGCCTCCTGATGCGTCTCCAGACGCTGATTCCAAATCTGCCTTCCAAATCTGCTGGCTCTCCGAACGAAGTTATGAAGCGGGGTCGCGTGTAAAAGCTCGAAGGATCGGTTCCTTTGCAAGTTTGTTGCTTTGCTTTTGTCCGGAACACTCCCAGGGACAAAGCAAAGCAACCGATTTGCAAAGGAACCGATCCTTCGAGCTTTTACCTGCGACCCCGCACCACTACCACTGAGCTATTACGCTTCATAACATTGTTCGGAGAGCCGTTTAGCAGATTTGGAAGGTAGATTTGGAATCAGCGTCTGGAGAAGCATCAAGTGGCATGCATCTCATTTTATACGGCCACTTCGACCTACCATCCTTCCCTTGTAAGCTTTAAGCTATTAGCTGGTTTACTTTATCCTGATCAGCGAAATTAAGCAATATCAAATGAAAGGAAGCTATCAGATTTGATAGTTTGGGTATTGCTTGCAATATGTAAGCTATCCCGCCAAGCTCATGATTGGTTTGTTTGTTTATACACAAAGGAGGTGGAGCACTCAAACTGCTTCTCTCGACCTCAATTTACTCTAACCAGTCTGAGGAAATCAAATAATGAGGCATATCAAACTAATGCTGAAGTGCCCATGCTATGCATTGAGCTCTGTGGATATAGCTATCAACTACTCAGAATTAGCGATTCTGATGTCACTGGCAAAAAGCGAACCGACCAACCAAAATCTTCTTGTTACATGTTGTGAACATTATAGCGCTTGTTGAGCTTACAGATAAATCATTAGTTACTGTATAAACTGTTTTGAAACTGCTTTGTTTTGAAATGTTCACACGGAATGGGAATTTTGGAGGATAGAAAATATATGCCACACGAATTGCTTTTCAGATGGTTGGCTCGGCGCAAGAATGGATTTTGTAAAACTCAAGGAACACTTTTTGGGCTTTAGTGAAAAATCCTTCACTCCCAGCGTAGTCCCAGACATACCATCTTCTACTATATATACCGCTTTACCAGATGCAACACAACCTAGTGGCAGACATTTTCGGAAAGTTCGAGAGGTGCAAAAATGTGTCGGCGACTGATTACTCTCAAACTAAAATCGTATTGTCACGCTAGGATGGCTAATTACAAAAAGGGAGAAGATACAGAGAGATAGTGGAAAACACTTTCACTGAGCGAATTGTACCACTTGTTCTCAATAAAGCTTTGCTTGAGAGCGAAAAATGACCATCAGTAAAACAAATGGTAAAATTTTTGAGCTGCATTGTTTTCAAATTTTCCAGCGTTAGTTCAGTATCGAGCACTTTAAACTGTGATTTCTTGAAGGTTTGGCTAACAAATTTATTCTTCAGTTCAATGTTTACTGAGTTTATCTAAGTATTCGATCCTCACATTTTGTAGTGTAACTTGCGATTTTGTTAGGTTAGCGCTAATTTCCGCTAAATTTAAAACTTCTTCGTTTCTCTCATTATGATGTGGTGTAATATTAGGACGAGGTCAGCAGTCAACGTAGCCATTTAAATGTAGTCGTCTTATAGGCGATTGCCAGAGCACGCAACTTGGCAGCTGTGATATGTGGAGTGTGAGGTCACTTGCACCTAAAGTCTCTCTCCCGGAGAAACTTACCTAGTGGGGAGACAAGCGCTCCCTCTAAAGGTGTGGACCAACACGCAATTCCCATTTGTCAAAAATCGTGAAAGGGATGTTGAGTATAGTATTTATTTTGATCATTTTCATGAGATGGTTCCACGTTCAATTTATCGCAAACAATCAACGGGAACAGCCCGACAAAGTGTAGTGCCCGGCTATCTATTTTTTCACAAGAAGTGTACGCGTTATCAATTTGACCACAGGATTCGTATAGAATGCCTACTACTGCTATCAACTCCATGGAAGTAGTGTACGAGTTTCACAAGACATGTTGGATCTTTAGTCAAGTCATACAGTTGTGACCAATTTTACTGCAAAAAATACGGGAGAAACAAACACAAGTTGCTATAACACTGAGACTTCAATGCCAAAAGAATATGTGTGAACACATAAATTTTTTTTCACTTAGAAGACCCGGAATGTTATGTCTCCCTCAGCATATCCGAAACATTATGCTTGGAAATTTGAACGGCGCGCGTATTTGCTTTAATGAAGGAAATAGACATTAGAGTTGACAAGATGCCATCACCATGATTGCGTGCGCGGTTCGCGATGTGTCAAAATCCGCTCGAATTGCGAGGATTGGGGCAGTAATGGGTAACTAGTGCCGCAAAAATTCTAAAGTCATATATTAATATTTTAGGTCAGACAACGCGCACAGATCTGATATTGTGTGTTTTCAGTGAAGATCACTTTGCCTGTGCTTTGTGCTGATATGGCTTAATTCTCTCTTTACATTCACTTTCGGCGGTTGTTTAAAGGGATCTTCCACAGAAACAAAACTCCGCCCTCATACCCAACGGAAACGACACCTTAGACCTAGCCCATGAGGAGATGTCAAAAGGAACGGACAAAAGCGATGATTTCAAATAATAAATTCTGATAGCTAGTAAAGACTCTAAAAATTGAACTCCGCGTGAACTTCCACAACTGTTAGCGGGTGATTCAAACACCTGCAAACGAGGGTGACAGCGTGAACGTGAACAGGATTTGTTAACCTTCCATAAATTTGAGAACTGGATCCGCACCTGTCCGTCATGCACTTCTTTCAATAAAAACGCATCTACGGTTCCGCCCTTCGGTCGCGTACCGGTCGCTAATAGGTGAGGCCCTTCCAAGGGTGCTGTATCTTTTGGTACTTCATTCTTTTCACCGAACATCGTTTCAATGAACGTGCTAACACCTATACACAATGACCTAGTCCTTCCGTGGGAAGGATTCCTTGACGCTATAAGCAAACGGGCGGAGTGGTTGTAGTGGTATGCACGCTTACCACGCGTGCGGTCGGGGATCCAAAAGCTCTGGGTCGTAGTCGACCTGGGGCAAGCAAGCTTTCCAATCCCTCCGGGCGTCGCCTTATTTGGTACAAGACTTTCTGGGAGGCCTAAAACACTGACTTGTACATCGCTGGCCCCCGCAAGTCATGCTAATAGGCCACACGCATTCAAACGCCAGCTGCGATGTACAATGGGAGTAGAATTGCGCGCCGCATCCCAAAAAGGATGATCAAACGGCAATGCTTTTTACCTTCACCAGTTGACGCCCGCACGCAATTATCGCGCAACAGCACAGTGTCTGCGGCGATATAGGATTGGTGCGGCGTGAATTTACGAATTTGGCCTAATACACGTCGAATATTTGACTTTAAGGCTAAATTCTAGCCGATTACCCCATGCTTCATCCATCGATGACTTTTGACCTTCCCTCCTTCCTCCACCAATTGTCCGTAATGGTCAACCAGTTGTCCTTTTATCCCGGCCTCGGACCGATATATGAACCTCGTGGTAAACTCCGCCTATTTCTTCGCATGTCCCACCTATCTCCCTGTCTTTGAATTATCCTGAGCCGATCTATAATTTTGGCGGCGAATCCTGCTTTTTTGGTGCATCCTCCGCACACCATTGGAGATTCACATCCTTTCCTCCGCCCACTTCTTTCCCGGCCTTCAGGACTTCTTGCAGCCAAGTCATAAGGTTTTGTGGAGAACTCCGCCTTCCTCGGAAGTGCCCCGCCCACCAACAACAGTTGGGCTTCACTCCTTCAGCCACCTCTATCCACCTTTTCCCCGGTCTCCGGGATCTGGTGGAGCCGAGCTATGAATATCTGTCGAAAAAACTCCTCCCACGTTGGTGCACGCCCTACCCACTAACAGTAGTTGACATTCCTCCAGTAGACGAACCCAATGCACTTCTTTTCCGGTCTCGAGGACTTCCTGGAACCGAGTTATGAATTCTCGTGGAGAACTTCGCCCAGTTTGGACATGCCCCGCCCACCAACAGCAGTTGGGCTCCGCTCCTTCACCCACCTCTATCCACTTTTTTCCATTCTCCGTGACTTCGTGGAACCGAGTTATGAGTTTCCGTGGATAACTCCGTCCACTTTGGTCATTCCCCGTCCATCGATAACAATTGATCTCCACTCCTCTACCCACCTATATCCACCCTTTTTCGGTCTCCGGGACTTCTTGAGACCGAGTTATGAATTTTCGTGGATAACTCCGCCCATTCTAGACATGCCCCGCCCATCGGCAACGGTTAATCTTCACTCTTCCACCTACCTCTATCCACCTTTTTCCGGCTCACTGAGACTTCTCCGGCCCGAATTACGAGGACTTGTAGAAAACGCTGTACACTTCAGAGTGCGCTCCCCCCATTGTGGGCGGGCTTCAGCCATCGTCGTGTATGCTGGGAGCACCTTAGACATTGCTCCCCTATACCAATTTGTTTTCTGCTCTGTAGGCTTTCTCTCAACAGAGTTATGAAATTTTTAATAAAGCACTGCTTTTTTGGGAAACGCCCCGCCCACCGGGGGTGGGTCTCCCTAATCCGATGTGACTTACCAGTGCACACCTTTACCCACTTTTGGCCCTGCTTCGAGGTTATTTTGTCATCGAACTCGAAATGGTCTTCTGTACAGTTCATTTCAACACACGCCACGCCCTCTGCGGGCGGGGCTCCACTCAGCTGATGTGTGTTTTGGACTTCGAGAGACCTTGCCCTCAAATTCCACACTTGATCCGGTCTCTCCAGGCAGATCCCGAGGAGCTAGGAAATTTCGTGACAGACATACAGAACGACAGACCGATAGACAACAGACGAAGCGCTTTATACAAAGTAGGATCCTTAT